TGACAGCTTTTCTGGCCAGGCTGTCCGCTGTGATGACCCCAACCTCAAGACTGAGAGAGAGCATTGGTTTCATCGACGTCAGCAGACCTTCGCCTATGTTCCACCTCCCATTTCCTGGTTCCACAGCTGACAAAGGCTCCAACATGACATGGATGTGACCTGATCTCTTGAAATGCAATATGTCACCCACTGGTTATGACATGTCACTGACACTAGACTAAATATCTCAGTGGTGTTAAACAGCAGTGGTTTGAATGTAACATACATACTACTGTATGTCTTATTAGCATTCTCTTCCTTTACATTGCTTCTGCATTGTTCCTCTCAGTAGTTTTCCTCTTTGCTCTCCCACACTGCTCTGACTAAGGACATGAACGAGACAGACAGACAGACAAACAGATAGCTTTTAAACACCAAATTAGATTCTTTGCACAGGCCTTGGTTCCCTCTGCTTGAGATTCTTCCATTTGATTGCCATTAATTAATGCTCAGAAAGGTTTACACAGTGAGACAGCCAAACTCTGGCTGTGTTTCACTGCATAGATCTATGAGAGAACAAGAACAGGATTTCATTAAGCTCCACAGTACGCACGGGGGTCATAAAAAGCTCCAGCTTGTTGCTATGGAGCTTTGACTTGGATACTTGATACTTATTGTGGATACAGAGCACGACCTGGCTCATATCAAAAAGCACAGCAGTCAGATGGCTTGTCTTAAAGAAATATTTTTTTCCATACATTCCAGATGGTTGGTTTTAGTGATGAAGTGCACTGGTGGGAGTTTAAATCCTCCACACACTGTTCTTGTATAAAATATGCAGTTTTATCTAAACTGAGTCCGTGTGTGTTTGGAGCTTCCTGCTGGGATGGTGCAGCATAATCTCTCCTTAATTCCTTATTCTACACAATTAGGTTATTTGCAGGTTTCGCTCAAATGCAGAAATAGGAACACTAACATTGGTGGTTATGTTAACCTTGGCTTTGATACAGTTTCACTTGGTACATTTACTGCAGGGCTGCAACTAACGATTATTTTCATTATCAATTAATGGACTAATTATTTTCTTGATTTAATAGATTGTTAATTTTGTCTATAAAACATCATAAAATAGAGAAAAATGTGTGTTGCAATTTCCCACTGGCAGTCCAACCAACAGTCTAAAACTTACAGATATCAGTTTACAGTCACCTGTCACAGAATAGCATCAAATCATCACATCTGAGAAGCTGGAACCAGCCTAATTGGCCAGTATTCATTTTTTCTTAAACACATAACTTAAATATGCAAGTTTCATAAGGACCCTTTAAATGAGTTGGATATTTTATAGTTGTCTGCACTAGTGAACAAACTATGTAATGGTGACATTAATTACCTCAGACCTATCTGCACCTTAATAATTACCAGATGACAACACACATCTTTCTATGAAAAGCTAATCTTGGCCAATATATCATTTGGTGCTGTGTGTATATGTAATCATCAAATTCAGAACTTATCGTGCCACTACCAGCTTGTCTTAGAGCTTTCAACCACATTTGATGGTCTTCCTCAGTGGGTGAAACTGTTTTCTCATTGTCCTATGTTTGTCAATATTCAACACGTCAGCTTTGAGCCTTCAGCAAAGGATTGATTCAGGGAGTCAGGGACATTTGTGCTGGGATTGCGCTGCTGTCTGCATATAAAACATGATACTACCACTAGTAGCTGGTTAGCTTATCTTAGCTTAGCATAAAGACTGGAAACAGGACAAAACAGCTTTCCTGGCTCTGTCCAAAGGTAAAAAAATCCATCCAACATCACCCCTAAAGCTCTGTAAATGAGATATAATTAATTAACACTTTTGTCCTATATATTTTTTTTGTTTAATCTATCTTTAAAACAACAGACTCTCATTTTTACATTTCGGAGATCAAAATAAGAAAATATGATGTTTTAATAAGTGAACTTTAAAGGTGCATTCCGTAGAAACAGTCAGCAATAACAGTTCGACATACATATTACGTGTCAATTTTAGTAATGACATGTATAACCTCATCATACAACTATAGTGCATACACATGCTCACTCACATGCTCAAAAACACACATTAGGCCATTGACTTTGTTAGCCTCCAAGGGTCAGTAGTGCAGGAGGAAAGCTGACAGTGGAGCAGTTAGTGGCTGCCTCATGCTGCTACAATTCCCCCTCTACTGTCTTCAGCTCAGCGCAGCAGAGACACTGTCTTTCATATATACTGTGTGAAGCTGCTTCCCTCAGATAATATACTGAGGTCCTTTGGGACTCTACAGAGACTCCAGGCAGACAAGATGTGCTCGTGTGATAAAAGAAAGTGATGTGTACAAGTGTAAACATTCAATATTATTCACTCGCTGCTCACTCACTGCTTTACGCTGCCTCTTATCTGGAGCTCCCTGGCTGGGGGCTTTTCTCTTGTGAAACCATCTGTGAAGCCTAATTCAATTGGAATAGAGAAGCATTTCATATTTGATGCATGGACATGAGCCGTGCAGTCAAATCAGATCTTGCCTTGGACCATGAGGGTGAAGGTGTGTTATGAATAACAGGATAAGTTTGCCTGCTTTGCTTCCTCTCCTCAGTTTGTTTTTCAAGATGACACTGACTGAATTATTGTCTCACAGGTTGTCGAACATGATTACAGTCAGGCCTCTGAGTCCGCACTCCACATGTTAACATTATGGCATGGAAAGCTACTCTTTTTAAGGAACAGGAAACGACTAATGAAATCGGTTTGCTGTAAAGCAGTTAGCCAATAAGAAAAAGAAGAAGAAGGAGAGCGTGATGATGAAGCATTGCTAAATGAAAACGTATCTCCGGAGAAGGTCAGATAGCAAGTGCTGTAGATGCAGGAACTAAACTAAATGCCATGTCGAGTTTGAGAGACAATATGACAGAAGACATTTAACAGCAAGTCTTGGTCTTCAGAACAGCGGCATTCCTCCTCTGATCTTCCCATTCAACTAAAACTTAAATAGCTGGGTAAAATAATGTGATTTTCCAAACATCTAATTAGTATATCCTTCCTGTTTGGCTGTAAATTTAACAGCAAGCACTCTTAAAGTGCTTTTTCTTGCATGCGTTTCTTAGTTCTCCTCTGTATGCACTGTGTAGTGCAGTTTCACTTGTCTTTGCGCATGTTAAATGTTGGTTACTCATGCTGATGCAGTCACAATGTGTCTCACTACTCAAATGTACAGACCACAACCACACAGTTGGTTGTTGCCTTTGTGTTGGCTATCTCCTTACTCTGCAAGTAAGTATTGGCACTGATGTAACCTTGCACCAGCGTCTCTTTGCATGAGGCCACATTTCTCATGATTACAATAATCTGCTTGTTACATTAACATTAACTACTGCAGACATTTGCATGCTGGGGTAAAGGAAATGCTGCATCTGTCTAACAATAATCAACTCAAATACACATTTACAGATGAGGTCATCTTTTAAACCTGATCCCAGCTCTGTGGTGCACAGCGATGTGGCAAAACACATCACTTCCTGACACATCTCTTTCATCAGCATCCTCTTTTGTTCCATCCTGTATCAACTACAGGAAGGCTAATGGGCGTAAGCTACAGATACTGCATATTGGCTAACTGCCGTATGTTGACACCTTCCTCTTCCCTCCCTGCCTGCTGTCCTACACTCTTCATACAGACAGACAACCACCTCAGAAAACCTTACCTAATGCTGTGGTTTTATTTCTCAGTTTGTTTTGTGGGTGTTCCTGGGCAGTTTTCAGAGCATAATTTGGATAAATAGTTTCTGGATGAAGCCCCATGAAGATCATTAGCTTAAGGTTTTGGCTGCAGCCAAGGTGTTCTCAGTAAATGACCTTCTTTATTAGGGGAGTTACTTTATTGATAGTTTTTTACCAGACAGTGTCGACAAAAACCCTTTTTAATGTCCGTGTGTTTGCCTGAACTGAACTGCTATGCTTTTATGCTGCTAAATTCAGTGTTACCAGAACACCTGTCTCTGAGCCTGACTAACAGAACACAGTGGGAGTGAATCACAGTAAGACTGTGTTGAAAAACTGCAAATATCAGGACAGAGATATTAAAAGGAAGTTTGATGTGAAAGTTCCTCAGCCCTTCTTGCAGTTCCTGTAAAAGTGGGTTAAACTTTGTTTTGAATGTTGGCTGTGCTTGTTCTCTGTCATCTCATTTAGGTCTTCCGGTAAATCCGTTTTATATTGTCATAATTTAATTAATTTAATAATTAAATAATTTAATTTTATTTAAGTTTTTAAAAAAAAGTTTAAAAGTTAATATTAGACTTCAACAGTTTGAATGACAAATCAACTTTCAGTCATTTAAATGCAATGGGGGTTTTTTTGTACAAAGTTTGTCACAGTTCCTCCACTGCAGCTCAACACAAACACAAGGAAAAAATGTAGAAAAAACACAAACTCTGGAAGATGCCCACTTGATTTCACTTATCAACACAGATGAACCCTCCTCTTAGCGCAGAGCGAGGACTGGATTTTGTTGCCTGTCACATTAGAGAGCAATCTTTTAATGTCCAGTATGAGCCACAGTCATAGATCTGTGTTTTGATTGCATTACTGTAGTGGTGACATCATACTGTATCAGTAGGAGTAGACAAGATCTCTGCCTTTCTCTCTCTTCTTCTCCTAATTAGCCACCACTCCACTGGCCTATTTCTACAGGAAATACATCATATTAATGAACCAAGATGCTCTCATGGTGCCTATAAACACGGATTCATCCATCTTTCAGAGCTGTGGTCCTCCAGTGTCCTCAGCTGCACGGCCTGATTAGACAGCCAGAGAGAAAGCCAGCAGGCCGAATAGAGAAGCAGAAGCACAGTCTAACCCATTCAGTGACTTTTAAGTCACTTCATTCCTTAGAAAGGAAAATGAAAGATAAAAACACATCCTATAATTCATGCATGTGGTACTGTCTAAGCATTTCTATGATTCGCTCACAGATGAACCCTTTATGTCCTCTTTAACACAGTTCCTGTGCCTGAAGAATATCAGGACTTTCCTGGCAGCGTGCAGCGAGACCTTCGGCATGAAGAAGAGCGAGCTGTTTGAGGCCTTTGACCTTTTTGACGTCAGGGACTTTGGAAAGGTAAGGCAGGACTTCTCAGTCACATGCAAAGAGATGAAGGCTTAATTCTTGCCTGCATCCACCCTCACTGTGTGTGTCAGCTGTCCCTCGAGAATGAACTGAATTAGTTGACTTTTACACCTACTCGTCTTTGTGTCTCAGTTATGGAACTTAGTTGAAACTATTTATAAGCGAAGCGAGCTAGTTTTGCTTTGACTTCGATTTTTAATTACAATGAAGGTTGGTACATGAAATCCAGTGTCTATGCGCCTTTTTGCAAAGATTTATACAAGCCTGATCTTTGATATCACAGCCTCATTTTGTTTAGCTGATCCTGTCATTGTAACAGCAGTTTCTGTGGCCTCTGGGTCATGTGTCCAGCACCATTAGTAGAAGTTCTTTGTGGCATTGCAGGTGCAAACAAACACTGTCTGAGGCCACAATGCAGCTTTCTTCAGACTCCTAAACTCTAAGCTGAAGCTGAAGTCAGCAACATGACCCAGCAGTTTAATTGCTTCCCCTCATTACAGTGAAAATGCCTCAGCATGCAGACTTTTACGAGGGGTTAAAAGTCTGGCCTCGGGTTCATTACTTTGATAGGATTCTCAGTCTTTGTTTGTAGTGCTTTGAAAGTGTCTGTGGCTCTTTGACAGCCCTGGTGCTGCTCTCGTCAAGTCCCCAGGAGGTTTAATTAGAGACTGCAGTCTTGAGCTGAGAGAGGGTGCCCCTGGACCCTGGAGCTCATGTGAGGCGTTTATGAGACGACATGGTCGTGTTATTCAGCTTAAAATGTGTGATGTGTGTCAGTGAGGAAGAAACATAGCAAGACAAAGAGTCATAATGATTGATTAGTTGTCATCACCCTCCACTGAAATGGCATTAAGAGCATCATGGGGAGTTGAAACCATACCCATAATTATAGTGATATCATTAATATTATAATCAGATTAAATCAAAGACCACCTCTACACAATATGATGTTAATCAGCCCTATAGTAAGCAAATTAGTGATATCAAGTCCATGATATCAGAAGTGAAACACAAAAACTGTTTTCCAATAAATGGAACAATGCACTTGTTTTAGTTTGGTACTTACAAATGTCAGCATTTTTATGTGGTTATTATTAAGAACAAAGCTGTCATCACAAAAATCACTTCATATGAAGAAATGAACTAAAAGTATTAATTAAATAATTAATTAATGTAAATCACCAAATGGAGAGATGATGGAAAGTCATGTTTTTCCAGTACTGGTTGTTTTTTCTCAGAAATCAATTCTTCTTCGCTGCTTTAAAACAATAGCCTACACAGGAAGTTGCCAACTGGTGTTTTAGAGTGTAACATTAGCCATTAGCAAAATGTCAGCAATTTCCCAGCAATAAAAAGGTAACTTCTACTGTATGCAAGGCTTTAATTTGTAGGGGTGGCAATAGTGTTAGGACAACTAATGTAAGAAGTATTGATTATTTTGTTTTATATATTTCAAGCTCTATGACAGCCAAGTTAACTAATCAAAGAAAGATGCGATGGTATTCATGTATCTGTTCATATTTTACAAAGGGTTTAACCTGGGTCATGTCATACAGCAATGACTCTGGACTGTTGTTGAAAGACATGTAATATAAGATGCTGTCTTGGACAATACCAACCACCCTCTCAACAACATTCTGGCAGGACAGAGAAGCAGCTACAGCTGCAGCCAACGTCCCATTTCACTGCGCTGCAGAACAGAGCGGTTCAGGAGGTCCCCACTGCCATCAGGCTGTATAACACCTCAGCCAAAGGAAGTGGCTCATGAACTGGACTAATTTAACTAACATTGTTTATGATTTATTATTATCTTTTATTATTATTATTATTATTATTTCTAATGAGCTGCTGGACACCTGAATTTCCCCTAGTGGATATATAAAGTATCTATATATCTATTTATAACAGCAATCATATCACATACAGAGTTAGTAGTATACAGCTGGTTATTAATGCAATGGCATTGGATGGGTACTCAGCCTCAGCTGATACATAAGTTCAGGTATCAGAATCCTTATTGGAAAGGAAAAGATGGTATCGCAACAACTCTAATGGAAAGAAAACCTCTAACTTCCCCTTTCATGGAAAACCTGCAGGTCAGGGAACAACATTTCTCTACCAGAGAAAAGTTATGAAAGATCACTATTTGTGCAATGAAAACCTGTGACACTGAGGTGCAGTTGTACATCATCACTCTGACAGTCTGAACTTCACAATGACAAATGTTTGGAAGTAAAACCATCTCCTTACTTGACTGGACGTTTAATTGATCACGACATAATCAACAAAAACATCTGTATGTCTGCAGTGCAGGTTGACTTCTCATAATGCTGCTGTTTATGTTCTCATTACTGAAAATGTAACTTGACTAATTGGTCAATAGCCTCTGAAAAATATTAACTTAATGAAGGCTTTGACTTACAAAAGATATGCTAATACTGTCTCCCAGATGAACACATTAGTGATGCAATATGCGAGAAAAAAAGCCACTTTTACTGTAGATTATGAAAAAATAAAGAATATATAAGGATCCTAAGAGTAGAGATGGGAAATGAAAAGGGCTTTAGATATGGTCAACAGCTCATTTTTATCCCCACTTGAATGTTCGTTTTCGCTGGCGTGCTGAGCTGAATTAAGAGGCAGAGAGAATTAAGCCATCTATTCATTAAGTCATCTATAATTAAAACACACTTGGACCGCTGGCAAGTTTCTTTCTTCACCCTCTTAGGGAAATATTTTCACAGAAAATCTACAGAGGAACTAACAGAGGCTTGCTGAATTATGATATGCATGTACAAATCTTTGTCCTTACTGTTTGGAAAACAAAAAATGTTAGATTTGCTCATCATTAGGATTTTGTGTTCCTGTGCTTCAAACTGTATCCCCTGTATGCATTTTAAAGAACAGGGAGTTCTATAGACTAAAGCTACTACTGTAACAAAAAGACCTTGATTGATCTGGCTGATAGATTTCCCAATCACTCAAATCTACAACAGCATCAACAACATTTTGTTAGATATAGACACAGATATATATAGATATATACTAAGCTAAGCTAGCGGCTGCCGGTTGTAGCTTCATGTTTAGCAGACATGTAGCATTGCTCTTCTATCTTCATGTAACACTCAGCTAGAAAGCGAATAATTCAGCAGAATATTTTCCCTTAACCAATCTGTTTTTAGAATGTTACACTTAATAAGGCTTTAAACAGTTAATTATCTCCAATAGCTCAGAGCATGACATGTCACTAAATGGCTTAATGTCAGTCCTTGATAACTGGGTGAGGTTAAATTTCTTTGCCCAGTTAGTTCCTCGCATTCCCCTCAACACTTTCAGATGAGATGAGAAAGTTTTATTTCAACCTTTAAGCACAGACTAGTTTTCAGTTTTTCTGATGTCCAATTTCATCCTCATTTTCCCCCTGTGCTTTCAGCTCGCTCGGGCTGAACACTTTGATGACTCTCCTGAGTGAATCCCACATTGCCCAGAGTGAATTTAACATCTCTGAAATTAGACAGCAAGCAGGCCCCGTAATCCTCGCTTGGCTGGCTCTACAGAGGCTAATGGAGTGAGGAGAGGAGGGAATGGGCGAAGCTGCCACTCACCTGCAGTCCCAATGTTTTGTTTTGTATTTTTTTGGTGTTTTAAAAATAGCTGCTGGACTACTACTGAATAAAACATCAGACAGACATGCCTGTTTGTTTTAGGGTTTGTGTGGTAGTTTTGATATAGTCTGTGTGAGGAAACAGGCTGGATATCTTGCTCTGGGCTTCAGCAGTTGTGCTGTGTAATCTATAGGTATTTCCCTGCCTGCTGCTGTTTTCAGCTGAACTCACCCCACACAGCCTTAAGCATCCAGCCTGAGAATTCTTGAACCTTATAAGCTGGGGAGATGGAAGAGTCCTTAGAAAACATTATTAAGAGTCAAAAGAAGACTTGAAAGCGTGTGTGTTTGTGTGATAACATTAATACATCTGACAAACAGCTTTTGGCTTGTTGGTGCTCTTGGATTGAAAATGTGGCTGCACAGAGCTGCGATACAGAAATACACTGACAAATACAGCAGGTCTGTGTGTAGCCCTTTCCCCTCAGTGCAGGGACATCTGGTTTGCACATCTGTCTTGTAGACACACAGTGGGTTGTGGGTTCTGTAGGGAGAAGAGAAACTTGGCTTCACAGGCCATTCGCTCACACTGATACCCACCTGACAGAGAGAGGGGAAGGTTGAAAGAGCAGCAGAGTTACTGGTGTGCACATCAGTCGTGTCAAGGAAGATGCTGAGAGCCACAATATCCTCTCGCTGTTTCAAGTGTGTTTTTTTTTTTTTTTTTTTTTACCTGCAAGATTTACTTTGCCATCGGATACGATAGAGAAATTCTGAGCACTAAAGTCATGGTATTGTGTGTCTGTTGTTATAAACACTGATACACACTGCAGCACTGCAGTGGAAAGCCTGCATGCAAACAAACAACGCTAAGAAAAACGTACCATGACATAACAGAAGTGGCACCATAAAGCTGCATTTTATCGTCAGACACAGAGGTATAAAATAGTATTTTTTATTCTGTGAGCAAAATGTTTTAGAACTACAAATATGGCTTCCATATGTAGGCATTTATTCAACTGCATCAACTGAACCAAGGCAGTAGTGTAAATAGGCCTCCAGAAAATTAAAGGTAATGTTCCAGAGACATTGATGAATAGCAAATGTGTTTTCTGAGCAGAACACATCAAAGCATCTGTCAGTCTTCAGTCTTTGGTTAAAAAGTGTATTCTTTAGTTCTTAATGTTGGCGAGCCTGAAGTATCCCCTGACCTCGTGTTAAAACATCATGTATCCTTGGTTGTAACGTGATTGAAAATATATCATTCTTGAGAGTGAGTGAGTGACTAACTGTCTCACTTCTATTTTATTGCTGATTCCAGTCCTATCAGCTAGTTTCAAAATAGAGACAAAGTGCTGACAGGAGCCTGCTTTACTCACAGTCACAT